TCTAATGGTGTCCCCCCCCCACCCCCCCGCCAAGATGGTGAAAATCTATTTTCTTTCCTAATAAAGAAAATGAAAGAAAGGTGTTCTTTGTTTTGACTCTGTGAGGTTCTTTCAGATATGAATGGAAAGCCCTGGAGGATGCTGGCCCTATGCAGGCCTGGACGTTTAAGAATTTTTGTTTTCTTTCTTTCTTCCTTTTTTTTAACCCCCCTGGGATGGATTCTTGCTCCCTCTGTCACCAGGCTGCAGTGCAGTGGTGCAGTCTCGGCTCACTGCAACCTCTGACTCCCTGGTTCAGGCGATTCTCCTGCCTCAGTCTTCTGAGCAGCTGGGATTATTACAGACACGCACCACCATACCCAGCTAATTTTTGTATTGTTAGTAGAAACGGGCTTTCACCATGTTGGCCAGGATGCTCTCGATCTCCTGACCTTGTGAACTGTTCTCCTCAGCCTCCCAAAGCGGTGGGATTACAGGCCTGAGCCACTGCACTGGCCAGGACTTTTTTTTTTTTGTCTTGCCAGAAATAACTCCTTGTATGTGAAGATTGTGAAGGTGCCAGAAACAATGCCTGTGTTCTAATTAGGTGCTCCAAAAAGAAAAAAAAAAAAAAAGAAGGAACGGAACAAATTCATGAGGATGAACGGTGCCTACTGGGCCAAACTGTAGGGATAGTACATGTTTTTCTTTCCTTTCCACTCCCTGAGAACACTATCCTTTGGCCCTTATTTATTCGGAGTTTTTCATCTGAGGCCAAGTAAAATGGCAGATCCTAGACATGATCAGGTTTGAAGGTAGAGCTTTCTGTTGGTGAGGACCTGTGGTGGTAGAATGACTGTACAATCTTAGATGGGATAGCGTAAAGTAATTTTGAAGAAAAATTTCAGGAAAAGCTAGGAAATTATTTAAACACCAGCTGGGAGAAAGGTTACATCTATTTAATGATGGAAGTGCTAATTTTATGCTTCTCTCTTAATGGCTCTAAAATGAGGAAAGGAAAATACTGATTCTTAGCTCATCTGTGCTTTGATTTAGCTCTCAAAATCCTGTTTTTGAAAGTGATATCAAAAGACAGTTTTGGGGACAGCAAAAGGTGAGGAGTATATTCCAACACATTGCCATGTTTCTAATCTGTTCATTTATCTAATCTATCTGAGTATATTCCAACACATTGCCATGTTTCTAATCTGTTCATTTATCTAATCTATCTGAGTATATTCCAACACATTGCCATGTTTCTAATCTGTTCATTTATCTAATCTATCTTTGAGGTGGCTGTTACTTTCAGGTGCTTAGATAATGAGTCTGGCAAGTTGTAATTCAAGCTGTACTTCCATTTTTATTCCCAAACCATGGCTTTTCTTTTTGTTAAATAATAGAGACAGGGTCTCGCTATGTTGGCTGGGTTAGTCTTGAACTCCTGGCCTCAAGCAATCCTCCTGCCTCAACCCTCAAAGTTCTCGAATTACAGACCTGAGCCACTGTACCTGGCCTAGAAATTAAGTTTCTTTTCTAGGTGGTATCTCTAATCTTTTAAATATTCTTGTGGTTACCTTTTAAAGTGTATTTCCTCCTGGTAGTTTAGACCAGCTTTTATGTCACCTCACTATATTATGAGATCTTTAATGCATTTTATATTACTTTACTACATGAGAGTTTGAGTTGTATGTGCTATAGGCATCATCTTTCAGTCAGACTCATAAGACCAAATTACTAATACAGGTCCTTCCCAGTGACCTATAATCATTTAGACCAGTGATCCTTAAGCTGGCTGTACATTAGAACCACTAGGGGGAGAATTAAAGAATACCTATTCCAGGGCCCCGCCCTAACCAAATGAGAAAATCTCTGATGCTGAGGCAATAGTATAAAGCTCCTAGATGATGATAATGAGCAGCCATCACTGATAACCACTGAGTTAGATTTAAGACTGGGAAATCACCAGCTGCTAGAACTTCTAAATTGGATTAGCTCTTTGGCTTGTGGAATGCTGGAGAAGAAATACCATCAGAGAATTCAAGGACAAAAACTTTGCATTCATAAGATAGCACAGAATCAAATTATTCCTTAACCTGTTTTCCTGGCCTAATTAAATTCTGAGAATTAAAGCTAACAATTGAAATTTCTAGTTTCTCATTTCCTCATCTGTTTGATTTTGGTGTTGGTGATTGTCTTTTCACAGCAATAATATCCTTTATCTTTAGCAGGAAAGGAAACATGTGTTTGATTATTTATGCATACCCTGACACACCTTTTTTTGTTGTTGTTCTTTTAAGACACTATGAAAGTGCCTATAAACTTCAGCAGCTGTGCAAAACCCAGGCTTGTTCTGGGGCTGAGGGAGTGCCTTCCTCCTTCCATCTTGGAATGAATGACTGATGTTCTGTGCAGGCACATAGTACTTAATCACTTGTTTTCTGTGTACCAGGAAGAGGAGGGCATATGAAAATAGAAGCCATGTACTGCCAAATGCATCTGAAATAAGAGTGGAAATGTTGACCTGATGGGTCAAACAGTTGAGCTTATTGCAAACACTTACAACTTTGGGTGTATATTATTATTTCACTAATTAAAATCTGGCATTATTTCAAACATGCTATACTGTTGTAATTTGTAAGCAACTATTCCTTATAGGGACATTGATAATCTTAAATTTTATGATTTATTTGCAAATTAAAAATTGTTCTTTTTTGAATTTGTGTGCCACATTAGACTATACCTTCTGAAGGAAAGATTAGAAAACAATAATTGGATTAGATCAGTTACATGGTTATTAGATCAGTTACATAGTTTGAGCCCACTGGCCATTTTTTCTGGCATTCCAATGCCTTCTGCCCCCATGGTAGCCATTAAAATGGTTAGTAGAGTATCTGCTACTAAGGGCAGTGCTGCATATGCCTGGTCTCATACTGTCTACACATGTCCTCTGTACAGAAAGACTCTTTAATGCCAATTGGTTTTATTTTTTTAGTGAAGAGCTACAGATTTTATTTTATTTATTTATTTATTTTGAGACGGAGTTTCGCTCTTGTTACCTAGGCTGGAGTGCAATGGCGCAATCTCGGCTCACCGCAACCTCCGCCTCCTGGGTTCAGGCAATTCTCCTGCCTCAGCCTCCTGAGTAGCTGGGATTACAGGCACGCGCCACTATGCCCAGCTAATTTTTTGTATTTTTAGTAGAGACGGGGTTTCACCAAGTTGACCAGGATGGTCTTGATCTCTTGACCTCGTAATCCACCTGCCTCGGCCTCCCAAAGTGCTGGGATTATAGGCTTGAGCCACCGCGCCCTGCGCTACAGATTTTAAATACACACACACACACACACACACACACACACACACACACACACATTTTGAAGTGTCAGCTGTATGCCCGGTGCTATACCAGGCAGCAAGTCAGAGCAGCTCATAAGATACATGCAGTCTTCCTTTTTGTGTTAATTATAGTACCTGCTTCAGGCCTTCCTCTATTGTTTAGTGTCTCTTATCTCTAACTAGTTTGAGAAGTTATGTGCTAGAGTTTTCAAGATAATACAAAGATTTCAAGATAATTTAAATTGCCCTGGCCAGGCTTGGTGGCATGCCTGTAATCCCAGCATTTTGGGAGGTTGACTTGGGAGGATCACTTGAGTCCGGGAGTTTTAGATCAGCCTGGGCAATATAGATAGACCTTGTCTCTACTAAAAAACCAAACAAACAACAATTAGCTGGGCATCATGGCATGTGCCTGTAGTCCCAGCTACTTGGGAGGTTGAGGTGAGAGGATCGATTGAGTCCAGGAGTTGGAGGCTGCAGTGAGCTGTGATGGAGTTACTGTACTTGAGTCTGAATAACAGTGAGACCTTGTCTCAAGGAAAAAAAAATTGCCTAGAATTTTTAGGTAAACCTTTCATTTTGAGAAACCATATTCTCATCATGTATTATATTTACTGAAAGATAATGCTTTTATTAAAAGCACCTGAAAAAAATTAAAACTCCAAGCTCATTCCTGGTTTGTATAAAAGAAGAAAATAAGTACATAAATGAAAGTGCCTGCAGAGCAAAGACTGATATTTTGGGGCTAACTTCAAAAACAATAAAACCTTAAGATGGTGTTCTTATTACACATCAATGAAAACAAGCGATTGTTAGGAAAAATTCATTTTCACTTTTTGATGCTTATTTTTATTTATTTTGTTTAATAACTACTGAATGAGTGCCTGTTATGCTGGACAGCAGGTATATAGTGGCAAACTATAAATAGCCATAGAATTACATAAACTGATAGAGGGGTTCGGACTTAATAGTCTATATATTTTGAGATAGGGTCTCATTTTGTCACCCAGACTGGAGTGCAGTGGCGTGATTCATGGGTTACTGCATCCTCAACCTCTGGCCTGAGGTGATCCTTCCATTTTAGCCTCTTAGGTGGCTGGAACTAAGGCGCCTGGTTAATTTTTTGTATTTTTTTTTGTAGAGACAGTGTCTCGCCATGTTGCCCAGGCTGGTCTTGAACTGCTGGGCTCAGGCAATCTGCCTGTCTCAGCCTCCCAAGTATTGGGATTACAGATGTGAGCTATCACGCCCAACCAATAGTCTGTCTTTTCATTGGTTAGTTGAAACTATTTGCATGAACTATAAATGTATTAGAAGTGATGTCTACCTTTTATTTTATTTTATTATTTATTTATTTATTTATTTATTTATTTTTGAGACGGAGTTTCGCTCTTCTAACCCAGGCTGGAGTGCAATGGCACGATCTCGGCTCACCGCAACCGCCGCCTCCTGGGTTCAGGCAATTCTCCTGCCTCAACCTCCTGAGTAGCTGGGATTAGAGGCACACGCCACCATGCCCAGCTAATTTTTTGTATTTTTAGTAGAGATGGGGTTTCACCATGTTGACCAGGATGGTCTCGATCTCTTGACCTTGTGATCCACCTGCCTTGGCCTCCCAAAGTGCTGGGAATACAGGCTTGTCCACACCATCTCACACTCACCTGACTGAGCTCTCTCTTGTCCAGATCCTCCCTACCTTTGAGATGCTGCAATGCCCCGGTCCACAGTCTTATGGGCAGCTAATAACAGGGTTTCCAGCAGGATCTTGGTGGCACTTCCACCTTTCATCTGGGAGGAGCTGCTGAGACCCTCAGGCTGAATGACGCGAAGACACCCAAGAGGAATTGGGAGAGGATAAAGTCTCCGGACCGCTTGTTAGTGACCCCCAGGCGTGTATGTGATGGTACTGCTGGCCCCCAGTGTGCCTGTGAGGAAGGGTGCTGGGGTGGGCTTGACTAAGAGGAAGATTGGAAAGAGGGAAAAGGCCTGCTCTGGTCATTCCTGGGTATATATTTAGGCTTCTCTGGGGAGGAAGTCACAGTGATTGGGTCTCTTGTCAGCTGGGTCAAGGGTTTTTCATAAAGTGCTTTCCTTTTCTTTTTTTTTTCCTTTGAGACAGAGTCTTGCTCTGTCGCCTAGGCTGGCTGGAGTGCTGTGGTATAATCTTGGCTCACTGCAACCTCTGCCTCCCAAATCCAAGAGATTCTCCTGCCTCAGCCTCCCGAGTAACTGAGATTACAGGAAGCTGCCACCACACCCAGCTAATTTTTGTATTTTTAGTAGAGATGTGGTTTCACTGTGTTGGCCAGGCTGGTCTGGAACTCCTGACCTCAAGTGATCTGCCCACCTTGGCCTCCCAAAGTGCTGGGATTACAGGTGTAAGCCACCACACCCGGCCCAGAGAGTGCTTTTCTTTCTAAGAAATTTCTCCCCCACCTCTCCCACCTCTACCATTTTTTGTGGTAGTTTATCAATCCAAATACCACATGTCATATGCTTTGGACAGGGGTCCAGATGTGGAACACAGCACACCGGACAGCAAAGAGATTCCGGCAAACAGAATGATAACAGTAATGATGAGAAAAGAAGATTGAAAGTCAACATTTGCAGAGAGGAGGAAAGAGAGACGAGTATTTGGGAGGTCAAAGCTGTGGAATTCTTACATCATACGGAATTCTACCTTCCTATCTCACAAAAGGAAGATGGAGGAGAATGTCTCAGATCACATGGCCATCACTGGTAGAGGGAGGCACCGGCTGGAATTTGGCTAAGGCCCTCCTAAGGCGCAAGTGAGGAGAAATGGTGCTAGTGAAATGTATCTGCAATCCAGATGAGAAAAAAGAAACAGGAGAAAACAGCTTTCTTTTTTTTTTTGAGACAAAGTTTCACTCTTGTTACCCAGGCTGGATGCAATGGCGCGATCTCGGCTTACGGCAACCTCTGCCTCCTGGGTTCAGGCAATTCTCCTGCCTCAGCCTCCCAAGTAGCTGGGATTACAGGCACGCACCACCATGCCCAGCCAATTTTTTTATATTTTTAGTAGAGACGGGGTTTCACCTTGTTGACCAGGATGGTCTCGATCTCTTGACCTCGTGATCCACCCGCCTTGGCCTCCCAAAGTGCTGGGATTACAGGCTTGAGCCACCGCGCCTGGCCGAAAGCAGCTTTCAAGCTAAGAAGGGCCAGCCAATTTTGGAGAGGATTTAGAAGGCAGAATGAAACAAAACTGCACCCCATTTTTTAAAGCCCGTATTTAAAATGTAAATATGTAAGACAGACAGACTGAGACATAACCGTGGCTATTCACCGCTGTCTATACATAGATGGCAAAGAGCTTCTTTAAACAGAAACTGCCCAGACCACTAAAGTGTTTAATGATTACCGGTTTGAGAGACAGGATAGGAATGAAGACAAAATATCTTATGGTGAAAAAGTAAATGGGAAAATAGGATTTGGTTTATAACATCTTAGCTGACTCACAATGCCTCAGGAATTTAAACAAGATGTAACAGAACCTAAAATCAGAGGCCCCAAGGAAGTGGCAAGCAGTTCCCAGGTGTTGGCGGGTTGGAGAACATAGGAAAAGGAGAAGCCCTACCCCGATGGCAGGATTGAGCACAAAAGCTTTCTGTTTCTGCTGCATTTTCTGCATCCGCTCTGCCACTTGTCGGAATGTTGAACTCCAGTCTTCAATGGGGTCATTTCTGGGGTCCAGAGAGACACAAGGTGGGGATATTGTCTATGAGGATTTCAAAGAAGGGCCTCAGCTGGGAGTCATGATCAAGGACTGCTTTGGGATTGAGGTCAGAGGTCAACAACTTCACACAAACGTATGCTTTGGAGCTTTTAGAGGCACTGTGTCCCTGAACCCCAAGGACGGGGGTTAATAAAACATTCAGCACCTCAAGCCCAGAGCAAAGCCAACACTCAAGTTTAAAGTTCCAGCCTGAGACCCAGACTGTCTTGCATAAGCCCCAATGCCATGGCCACACTAACCTCACCCTCTGCAGGCCTCTTAGGGAATCCTGTCATTCAAATGTCAAAGTTGCCACCTTATTTTCCATCTTAAGGTTCATCAGAAGCCCTTGCCATTCATGGAAATACATTCTGGAAATCCCTTCGAAGAGTGAACCCTCAGTACTGGAGGGAGGGATGACGGTGAGGGAACCGAGCTGCAAGGTAGGTGTAGCACCTCACGGTTGTCAAACGTTTCTTGAATGAATTAATCAGGAACAAATGAATGTGTTAATGAGGCAGACTTGTTATCTGCTTAGTTACAAATCATGGAATCTCAAAGAATGAGGATCTTCTTTAGTTGATTTCTAATGGCTTTGCTAGGGGATAATTTGTGAATCGCCCATTATGGCAGGACCTCAAAGAGTTAGTTACCTCTGTACATGGCACCCCACATTTCGCCTTACCATCCAATCCTGCGAAGGTTCCATCCCGTCTTGAATTATTTTTGTATCACTGCTAGGGCAGAGGAGTTTCACATATTTTATGCCCATGGTGTAAAATACCTCCTGTCATTTGTCCTCAAACTATTTCTAAAACTTGCTAGAGATCTAAGAAAGAGGAGACCAAAGCAGAAAGCAGAGACAGCGTTCATATTGCATGGTTTAACGTCTAGATTCCTAAACACAGCTGGGCATCTAAATCATCTGGGGAGTTTTGTTTTTTAATAACTATGCATTTCTGGGTACCACATCCACCCTAAGATTCAGATTCAGTAGTTCTGGAGTGGAGCTCCAAAATCTGTATTTTTAGAAAGCTTCCCAGGTGACTCTGAATATCAGCCAAGTTTGGGAGCCACTGATTTAAGGAACAACTGGAAGATCTCCACGCCTACACTGTTTTGAAAGTCTTCATTTCACCTAGTCATAGGGCCTGAAATTAGCATCCACTGCAGCAGATACATTTTTGGTGAAGGAGGGCCCTCCCCGAAAAAGATCAGGGTTAGGGTATTTCAGATTCATTTACACCATTGCATGAGTTATACAGCCTAGAATCTGGGAGGTGGAAAAGCACCTTTGAAAAACCCGCTGGTCTCCCTTCCCAAGACCGCCACTAAATAAAAAAAGCTGCTCTAAAATTTTCAACAAGCCTCTGCCATACCCCCCTGGTGTCAGGAAGCCCTCAGCTTTGTCAGGTAGCCCACTCCAATGGCTTATTTAGCAGAGTTCCTCAGTTCTGGCTCTGCATCAGAATCTCTAGGGATGCTTTCAAAAAATAGATATTTCAGGGCCTTACTCCAAACCTACAAAACCAGACGTCTCGCACAAGGAACTAAGAATCCTCTTTATTTTTCTGTAACACTCCCTCCAGGCAGCTCATGCACAGAACCACATCTGAGCATGGGAGGTGGAGGCTGCAGCGAGATGAGATCATGCCATTGCAGTGCAGCCTGGGTGACAGAGCGAGACTCAGTCTCAATAAAAGAAAAAAATTTTAAAAACAGGCAGCTGGCTGCATTGGCCAGCCGGTATAGTTTGCTTACCCTTGGACCAGTCCACCTCTCTTGGTTGCTGATTGATTGATACAGTTATTCTGAAATTGAATCCCTTCCCATCTTCCCACATTCATACAACTCGATCCAAGTTAGTGAAACGAAAACCAAAATTCCTTGAGCAAACTTCCTGCTTTCTAGCGCCCACCTCATTGATCTATCTTCCATGCTATTCCATTCCCACTCACTTCTTCTCTCTAAAATTCATTCACTCAACCCATCTTTCTACTCACAGAGAGTCCCACAGAAATGCCAACGACAATCACCCTCTTCTTCCCGGCATCCACCTAGGAGAAGAGGATGGACAACGCAGTGTAACTGGGAGGATTCCAGGCACAAACCTACTGTGTGAGGGTATCAGGGCCAGGAACAGGGGAGGGAGGGAATAGGCTTTGGCTGAATGCTGGGGCTTTTATGTCCCCATGAGAAGGAACAGATAGAGGTCTCTGGTCAAGTATCAGTGGGAAGCACAGACCTTTTTCAGTTCCTTAATCGAGTGCAAAGCACTATCTTCCGTCCCCTCCCTAGAGGCCACCACAGACTCGAGGTCAGTGGCACTGGTTGGGAAGAAGAAGCCTATGGTTTATTAGGGCAGGCTACATTAAGAGATGGGAATAAAGGGAAAACTATCATTGAATGAGCACCCACTGTTTGTTGGGCACCATGATAGACACTCCATAGAGTTGAAAAACCCAAATAACCCAAATACCTGCAACAGCCGGTCAGGTGACATAAGTATGTAAAGTGGACCAAGTGTAAGTCAATAAGGAATGGGGGGACTAAGGCAAGCTGGACTCAATCTCTGCCCAAAGGCATTCAGCTCAATTTCTAAGAAGCGCTATTCAGGCCAAACAAAATATTCACAGCCTAACTTGGCTTACCTGTCACCCCCTACAATGAGGTAGGTGTAAAGAGGTTTCTGTCTCAGAGCTTCCATCAGCTGATTAAAGGACACCTGTCAAGGAGAGAGGATGTGAAGGGGTAATGACAGAGAAGAAACAATTATCTTGGATTTTCAACTCCTAGAGGACAGACACTATATAACGATTCTCTTAGACCAGTGCTTAACCCAGTCCTACATGGAATCTGGCGCTTAAAGCTGCCACTTGGGGATGATTAGTTGGCAGTGCATGGGATATAGAGACATTGACAACAGACTGGTGGGACTCAGATGGGCTCAGAAGAAATGGGACTTCATGGTGACGCCTAGCTTTTGGAAGAGAGAGAGCGCCACACTTGGTCTAGTGAGGGGGGCCCCTGGGAGCTCAGTTATGGTGATCTTTATGGTCCTGAGGGTCACCTCAAGAAGTGGAGAGGTAAGAAAACCGGGGACCACGGTGCTCACTGACATGAGGAATGCCATCCGGCCAGAGGTGCCCCCTCCACTCAATACAACCAGCCCCCCATCTGGCTCCTGAAGAAGGAAAAAGGCGTATATCACCAGGGCCTGGCTTAGGTTGGGGGAAGCATATTCTTTGTCAGTAATGCAAGAGGAACTGAAAAGGCTCCTTATCCCTCCTCTCATCACAAAAGTGAACAAATACATGCAGTGTAGTGTAGAAAAAGAACACCGGATTAGAGAAACCAGTTTGACTCCCAGGTCTTGCTCCACTACTGATTCGAATCCTTACTTATCCCTGAAAGAAGGAAAGCAGCTTTGTCATCTAAATAAAAGCACATAATAAAAGCAGCGTTATCCAGCAATTATTAGCTGGGTGTATTTGACAAGCTACAGTGATTATCTTTCTAAGTCTTTGTTTTTTCACCTGATAAAAACAACAAACAGAAATCATGTCAACTTCACGGGTTTTTGTGAGGTAATAGCTGTGAAAGTAGACTGTGAATTACAAAGTGTTAAGCAGAGAATTATTGTTAATAATAAGATAAAAATAAGGATCCAAAAGGGAGGATCTTCAAAAGGGAGAAAGGAGGATGCGATCTGTAAAAGTGAGAAATAGAGACCAACGAAAGAGAAAGAGGGAAACAGAAAAGTTGAGGCAGGGAGCAGAAGGAAGGTTGTACCTTCAGCACTTCCTGAACTTTCCCGGCCACTTGTACCATAGTGGTCAGAATGGATTCTCTGTAGAGCCTCTGTAGGGGACAGGCAGGAATCAGAAGCCAAGACGAGGAGGACGGTGGATTGGGGAGGGAGTCTCAGGGTTTCCAGTATTAGGAGCCATGGTCAGGGAGTGCAGAGGTGGGATTGGGGTTAGCATGTTTATTAGCAGGGTGCAGGGCATGGGTCTGGGTTACCTGGTATGTGGGCAGAGCTTGCCCCTCCTCCTGGAAGATCTCAGCATCACATTGCCCCAGCAGTCGAACAATTTTCTCAGCATCTGCTTTGTCCAGGTCCCGGGTCAGTGGATTTGACTTCTCTGTGATTGGCACAGCTGTCTCATACCCAGACAACTAGAAGGAAGAGGGGACAAGGACTGAGCAGGAAGCCACAGCCTCATTCATGCCTGCTGAGCTGGAGGAGGGAGTGGCAGCAGGTACAGAGTTTGGACTCACACACACACACACACACACACACACAAACACACACCCCACACCCCACACCGGAAACTCAGCCTGCACTTGCTACTCTGGGCATATTAGGGAAAGAACATCAGGAAGGAAAAGGAGTTGAGCAGCAACCCAGGGCGGACGGAAGACTGGATGAAAAGTAATTCTAGGAATCAGGACGGAAAGCCAACATGGAGAAGGGGTCTCACATCCCATTGGCCAGGCCCTGGGGTCTCAATGACATGTTGAAACCATTTTGTGGCCAGCATGGTCCTGCGCTATGGATACACTGTTCTGCCTGCCTCTTCAGTCACACAAACCCCTCTGGTCACAGTGACTCTGCTTCCAGTTGGCAGGGCCTTTTCTGAGCCACAGTGATGATTAACTCAAACACTCTGGGCTCTCAGGGCACTACCCCCTGTACCACCGCCTGCACCACCCTTTCCTGGTTACTAGGCCCCCAGCCCTCTGGTAACCTCAGGGAAACTCCTCTTTGCATGCACCCTGACTCCACAGCCTCTGCTTTGGCCCCTGAAGGGGAAGACCAGAGGCTCCTGACTCTTGCTCTACAGGGACAATGCCCTCTTCTCCTGAGGACCTAGAGCCTGGGAGTGCAGGACAACACCCAGGGCAGTGAGAATCCCTGGGCAGGTGTCCTCCATGGCCAGAGATCAGGGTGGCCAGGTCAGCAGATGTCAGAGGACCTGGCCCATGACTTGATCACATGCTCCACAGGCAAAGTCCCACTGGTCCCATTTTACCCTCTCCTCTCAGAAAGGAAGGCAGCAGAAGCTTCTGAGCCCCAAGTATGCACACGCTGTACTGGACATTACAGCTGGAAAAATGCCACAGAGACAGAAATACTGCATGGAGAATTAGAAACCAAAGGGTCTGCCCTAAACACAATGCTAGCCAGCATCTGTTTACACTGAACAACACACTTTTCACAGACAGTATCTCATGGGATACACCAAGACTAAGACGGTCAATATTGACACCTTCATTTGTCAGATGATGAAACAGGCACAGAGTAGTTGAGTTGGTTGCTTAAGATCACACAGCTGGACAAATCGGGACTCACACCCAGGTTCTCATTCCAGATTTCAAGCTCAACCAAAGCATGAAATAATTTAAGGGCTTACATGCTTATTGAACAAAGGAAGGAACCAAAACATTGGTGCAAATTTACAATCACCATCTATTCACACGGTGTTGTGAGATTTATAAAGATCTCTCCCCAATATTGTCTCATCTGAGCCTCACAACAACCCTGAGGTTTCACTTGCTTTGCTTTACAGGTGGGAAATCTGCGGCACAGATAAACCAGTTTCTCCAAAACCACAGGGTAAGTGGCAGAGCTTTAGAAAAACAAAAACAAAACAATACAAAACAAAGCGAAAAGAAAGGAATAACAATTTTTCTAAAAAAAAGCTGGGCCGGGCGCGGTGGCTCAGGCCTATAATCCCAGCACTTCGGGAGGCCGAGGCGGGTGGATCACGAGGTCATGAGATAGAGACCATCCTGGTCAAAATGGTGAAACGCCGTCTCTACTAAAGATACAAAAAATTAGCTGGGCATGGTGGCGCGTGCTTGTAATCCCAGCTACTTGGGAGGCTGAGGCAGGAGAATTGCCTGAACCCAGGAGGCGGAGGTTGCGGTGAGCCAAGATCGCGCCATGCACTCCAGCCTGGGTAACGAGTGAAACTCCGTCTCAAAAAACAAACAAACAAACAAAAAAGCCATAGGTCTCTGAGCTTTGATTCTCCCTAGAAGCCCAATACTCTTAATCTCTGTGTCTCCAGGTTTTAACTAGACACATAAGAGATGCTCAATAAACATTTGCTGAACAAATGAAAGAATGAATGAGAAAACGAACGTAATTAAATTACGAATGGGAAAGAGACTTAAAAGCTGACCCAGTCTATGTTAAAGCAATTATTATCTCCATCACTCTGTCCCCTCTCTTAGCCCCTCTGGCACTGGATGTGAAATTCCTCCTGCCAAATTGGCTCTTCCACGCGGGGAGGAAGGGGATCTCCCAGGTGCCGGAGACCCTCGCACCCGAGCCTCCCCCCCAAGCCCCAGCCGGCTCCGCCGTCTGAGCTGGGAGAGAAGGGATAAGGGATGGGGGCCCCGGAGGTGAAGGAGCCCGGCGAAGACGGGGGTGGAGGGCTGGAGGGGAATGACGGCGGCCACACCCCCGGCGGGGCGGGGCCGGCCCGCGGGTCCCCGCGCGTCCCGGTCGGTCTGCGGCGGAGCAAGCGGGGCCAGCGCTGCAGAAGGCGGCTGGCTCTCCGGGAGGGTCACATCCCGCTGCAGGGGCGGACCCGGGCCAGCGTCCGGGCAACGCCCCCAGCTTCGGGAGAGACTCCCCGCCCGCCAGAGCTCTGAGGGCTCCGCAGACCAGGCCCGCGTCAGGATGGGGTAGGGGCAGCGCCACCGAGTCGGGCGATGGGCTGCCCTCTGGGCACCGAGCAGCCCCCGGAGGCCTGACAGACCTCGAAGACCGTCGGAGGTGGGTGTGGGCAGGGCTGACTGCGCTCTGGGGGCGCCCGGGCAAGGCGAGGGCGGGAGGGCGCGGGGGGCGGGGGGGCGGCGGGGAATAGGGCTGTGGCGAGCTGTGGGGAGCCCAGGAGAGGTGCTGCCTCCACGACCCCCGGGAGTTCTGGGCAGTCCGTGATACCCCCCCCCCAATTCCTACCACCTCCAGGAGCCCTGCCTGGATGTCAAGCGGATGCCCCAGTGCCCCCCACCCCCGGGCTCGGTGGACATGGCTTCGCTGATGCCCCTTTCCCCATATCTAAGCCCCACGGTCCTCCTGCTGGTCAGCTGTGACCTGGGCTTTGTGCGAGCAGGTGAGTAAAGGGGAACCGGGCTGAGGGTCCACCAGAGCTAGTCAGAGGGTGAACCTGTTAACACTCTGGCTCCTGCAGACCGGCCTCCCTCTCCTGTGAATGTGACGGTCACTCACCTCAGAGCCAACTCGGCCACTGTGTCCTGGGGCGTCCCAGAAGGCAACATCGTCATTGGCTACTCCATTTCCCAGCAAGTATGAATCACCCTTCTGCTCCCCCAACCTGTGTCCTTGGATTTCTGCACATTCCTTCACTTAGGTGGGGGATCTGGAAGCAGGCTATCCTGGCTCAGGCTGCCCTTTTCACGCTACTCCCCCAGAGTGCTTGGATGTTGAAGAGTCTCGGTTGAGCCTTGTGGCCTGGCACTGGGTTGAGGCTGGTCTCCTCTCCCCTCATCTCCCTGCAGCGGCAGAATGGCCGCGGGCAGCGTGTGATTTGGGAGGTGAACACCACCACCCGGGCTGGTACCCTCTGACGCCTGGCTGAAGACAGTGACTACACAGTGCAGGTCAGGAGGATCGGCCTTCGGGGAGAGAGCCCCCCAGGGCCCCAGGTGCACTTCCGAACTCTCAAGGGTTCTGACCAGCTAACTTCAAACAGCTCAGGCCCAGGTGAGGGTCTGTGCTATTGGATTCTCTGGCTGCTTACCCGGCTTGCAGCCTCTTTCTTACTTCCCCAAGACAAGCAACAATCCAGCTGAGATGAATAGGATGATTTAATCCATTGTACTACCAGGAAAGGAAGGAAAAGCAGGTGGGAAGGGGACTGGGTATAGACAGGCTGGTATTGAGTTGTTCCGGGGGAAGGGCTTCTAAGCTTCCTGTTACCCAACTTCACATCAGCTGCAGCCTGCATGAGTGAGTAATTAACTTGCAACCATCTGCTTTTTAGTCGCTAACCACCTGTCCACCAATGGCTTCCTCCCACGGAGGGGCTACTCTACACTCCAAGGGCAACATTATGATGGGTCTGCCCTCTCTAATCCCCAGCATCTCCATCCTGCATATGTCTGCACAGAGAGTTATTCCCCAGTAACCTGGAGTCTGCCTTCTCCCTTCTCAGGTGACATCACAGGGGAGGGTCTTGATGGAGAGCGACCACTGCAGACTGGGGAAGTGGTCATCATTGTGGTGGTGTTGCTCATGTGAGCTGGTGAGTAAGCAGCTAGACAGGGGACCAGGGACTCACTTAAGGTGGGAGGTGGCAAAAGTTGTCAGGAGAAAAAGAAGTGAGAGAATTGAGCCGGTCGCGGTGGCCCATGATTGTAATCCCAGCACTTTGGGAGGCTGAGGCAGGCAGATCACCTGAGGTCAGGAGTTCAAGACCAGCCTGGCCAACATGGTGAAACCCGGTCTCTAGTAAAAATACAAAAATTACCGGGATGTGGTGGAGGACGCCTTTAACCCCAGCTACTCGGGAGGGTGAGGCAGGAGAATCGCTTGAACTCAGCTGTGAAAGTTGCAGTGAGCTGAGATCACGCCACTGCACCCCAGCCTGGGTGACAGAGCAAGACTCTGTCTCAAAGAAAAAAAAAAGGGAAGTGAAAGAAATGGAGTGGGGAGATACTTAGTTGAGGAGGGATGATTCGTTAGTTTGAAGAGAGGGAGAGGAGGCTGTTGAGAGCCCAGAGAGGAGGACTGCATTGGGCACCAGGAATTCAGGATGTTCTTCATGGATTTTTCTAGAAGCTATGTGGGTATCTCCCTGTTGTGGGAGATGAAAGCTCAGACTGTATTGTGTTTCAGCTGTAATTGGGCTGTTCTGCCATCAGTATGACATCATCAAGGACAACGACTTCACCAACAATCCCAAGCAGAAGGGAAAGGGATGGGAAGAGAGTCCTCAGGGAAGGCCAGTGGGGACAAGACAGATGATGTGGGGACCAGTGAGGGCAGAAAGGGTGCTTTTGCCCCTGAGGGGCAGCCAGGGAAAGGAAGAAGGTCAAAGAGGGGCAGAAAAAGATGGAGGGAGGCTGGAGAGAAATGGTGGCACCTATTACCTTCCTGAAATTGAGACTCAGTCCATTTTCTTTCACAGAAAAAGTCAAGATCCGTCAACACCATCGACGTTTAAGTGAAGAAACACACCCAGAAGAGAGATGCACTAACAAATTGGGGATGGGGGTGGGACCAGGGAAAATCCAAGATGGTGATCTGCCTGAGACTCCCAGAAGGTAATGACACTCTCCCCATCTCAGGCCTGGTACCCATCCTCTTTCCACTGTGAGAGAGCCAGAAGGTAGGTCTGTTAAAAGTCTGTGCCCCTGGACCTGGGGAGCAGATATCAGATGGGATATCTCTTCCCATCCCCTGGTCCAGGGGAGAGTCACTTGTTCTACCCTAATCCCATTAGGTCCCAAGTGGGGGCCCCATTCCACCTGTATCAGGACTCTCAGCATGCCCAGCTGCCCCCACATCTTGCCTCTGGGCCTCAGAGAGGGGTGTTTCTGTGGGTAATCCTCTTTCCCCAGCAAACAAAAGGAACTGTCTCAGCCTAGAGGCAGATGCTGCACTGCACTACTCCAGTGTCTTCCATGGAGCCTCAGGTGCTCCCCCTCTCACCTGGCAGCCCCTTCAGCTGCCAGTGATCTCATTACTTGGACATTTTTCCAATAAAGGTTCTTGGGCAAACTGGAGTTGACTATATAGTATGCCGAAGACATTTCCTCACCTTGTCTCTTTCCTGACCCTCCAAGGGCCCCTCACATCACCACCTACTTGACAGGAGCAGATTCTCATTGCAAGGTGTAAAAATACTCCACCCTGGGATAAGGACCAGGAAGAAGAGGTGTAGAAAACTAGAACCCCAGATTCTGTTGCTTTGTTGGGTGAGAAGGGGAAAAAGATAAGAGAAAGATGTAAGTTCCAGGACCACTGGAAACTAAGGCATATCAAAGGAGAGGGCAGTACCTTTTTTAAGCTTCACTTCTTGCATCAACAGCACAGCTCCTCACCACTTATTCTTCTGACTCCTCCATCAACCCTGGGCTAATGGTCAGAAAAGGACTAAGCAGTGTCTTGGGGACTACTGAAAGGACAGCTACACTCATGGATTCCTGGTGCCACATGCTCCTATCCTATGTGTTCCTGTGTCTGTTCCTCCCTCCTTTGCGTTCCCTTTCTGCTCTGCCTCTGTTTAGTCAAAGTCAATAATAAGTGTAAATCATAAATGAGTTTATGTTCATGCTCTGCCACCATATCCAGAGGAGGATTCTCTTTCTTTTTTTTTTTTTTTCGTTCACTATTTCCAGTAATGGCTATAAGCAACAGAGGAGGATTCTGAAAATAAAACTGAGGGGTTGGGACTCAAGGATTATCATTGGAGCTCTGAAGCCTACTTGTTTCCTGTGAAAATAGGGGCTGTCCTCTACTCTTTCCTATTTTCTAAGGAGTGGTTGGTGGCCATGAGACAAACACCTGTTGACATTTACAGCCACTGTGGGGGAAGGTTTCTGGACCCACAATCTCTCCAGAGAGCATATGCTACACTTTCTGGAGAGTCACAGATCTTCCCAGCTTTGGGTCATTTCAGAGAGGCTTATGAGTAACTCCTTTTCTGCATTTCAGTATCTCTGGTATGTTAGAAGATAGGCCAAAAATTCGGAAAGGAACTCCAATCCAAACAAAGATCAACAAGTCAGTATCTTTTCTACTTAACCAATCTCCAACCCCAGGTATCACAAGACAACTATCAGGTGAGCCAAGTCTGGTCTGCCCTCAAAACTGAACCATTAAAGCATTCCAATGTAAACAACAGTCTTTAACCCACCATTACCCAATTTGGAAGTAGGGTACCTTACATTTCTCTGGCAGCTGGTTGGAAAACACTCATCTCTCAGATTCTGAGAATAAATATCATCATTTATTGGGATGGGAGTGTCACAGGTTATAGTATCATGGCATGGAGAGAGCGAGCTAGGAGTTGAGAAGGAACATAAAAGGTGTTTAAAGCTACCAACTCTGGGTTGAATTCCAGTTCCAAGTCCTTTGCTGACTGTGTTAGTTTGAGCAAGTGCCCTGAGTCTCCTGTTCTGTAAAATGAGACTAATAATAACGCTACCCCCTTCAAAAGGCGGTTTTGGGATTAAATGACATAAATGCATTTATAACAGTTTGCACAGTACCTGGCAGGCACATACTGAGCATCAATGGTTAGCTATTGTTATTAGCCTTGCGATCTCGTGCAAGTCATGTAACTAACCTATTTGGGCACAACTCCGGCAACTGCAAAAGGCCTATCATAGCAACCGCCCTGCTTTTCTCCAGGGTTGTGAAGATTAAAAGAGTGCACTCAGCAACAGTCAGGTATGACAAACAGCAAGACGGACCGCGATGACTTAGGACCCAGGGCTGGCCGAAGGCTTGTGGGCGGGGCTTAATCTTGGGTTTGCATGCGGCGACAGGATTGGTCAAGAAGAGCATTCATCAAGCCCTCTCAAGGGCCCGCCCCAGATGTCACTGCGCCTGTACACCTTCTGTTTGATTCGCCGCAAAGCGACGTGTGACCTTGCGACGCTTGTAGCGCTCGGGTCGCAGAAGCGTCTGTGGCTGTCGCTGCGGCTGCGTGGCGGGTTGTCCAGGCAACCACGGGAGTTGTCGCCGTCCGGTAGCAACTGTTGTTGCGCGTCAGGCAGTTGAAGCACCTGAGGACCCTGCTGAGCCTTCAGGTGACGAGTTGCGTGCCCGTCCCTCCCCGTTTCGCTTTACGTTCCGAGAAAAGTGGGGAAACTGAAGTTTGTTAGTTTGTTTTTTCTTTTTTCGTTTTGGTCTTAGTCCCTGGGTGCCAAAAAACTCAAGTTTAATGATGTGGAGCTCCTACTTTGTGCAGAAGGCTGGAAAGGGTATAGCGATGACCCAGGCCCTGTCCTGTCGATACTGTGTTCAGGAGGTGAGATGGAGCGCTGAGCTTTCCTTACATTTCATTCACATCAGTTGTGTACAGGCCCCGGCCCCGTGCTGGCGCTCGAAGGAATTCCAAACCACCCGACTTATTGCCCCTGCCTTCAGGAGGCTCGTATTAAAGGGAGAGGTGCCCGTGTAAGCAGCGAGTATACATCCACCCATAAATAAGCGCCTTAGGTGCAAGCCGTGAAGGGGGAGTGCAAAGACCGAGCGGTGTATACTGATGGTAGAGATCTAATCTCCTCTGATTGAGGAGAGGCAGGGCCCTAGGGGAGGAGCCCTGGAACACAGTGAAGAAAGGGTGAGCTTTGGAGTTAGCACACCAGAATTTAAGTTCTAGCTCCACCACTACTTTCTTACTTCCTTTTTCAAATGTCTTACCTTTCCCTTATTTTATATCCACCACTAATTTATTTATTTAACAATTTATTTGAGTCTGAGTCTTGCTCTGTTGCCCAGACTGCAGTGCAGTGGCACGATCTCACAACCTCTGCCTCCTGGGTTCAAGCCATTATTCTGCCTCAGCCTCCTGAGTATCTGGGATTACAGACGTGGGATAGCAGGCCCGGGGTAATTTTATTTATTTATTTGTGTAGAGATGGGGTTTCCCCATGTTGCCCAGCCTGGCCACCACAACTTTAAGCAAATGACCTTTAGCCTTCATCATACAGTGTCTCTGAGCACTCACCAGCTTCTGCATTTGGAAAACATGAGTACTAATAGCAACTTTAGGGGATGTGGGTAAGAGTTAGATAATATACACAAAAGAGCATTGTAAACTGAAAAGCAGTGTGAAAAATTCATAGACAAGAGGAAAGTACATTCAAAATTCAAAGGGCGGAATAATACAAAGCTAGTAAGAATAAGACGTCTGGGCGGACACAGTGGCTCACACCTGTAATCCGAGCAATTTGGGAGGCCAAGGTGGGAGGATCACTTGAGCTCAGCAGTCCAGGACCTCTACAAAAAATTTTTAAATTAGCCACATGTGGCGGTGAGCACCTATAGGCCCAACTACCGGGGTCACTGAAGTAGGAGGATCTCCTGAACCCAGGAGGTCGAGGCTGCAGTGAGACACGATCGCACTCCAGCCTGGGTGACAGAGTGAGACTCTGTCTCAAAAATTAATTAATTAATTAAATCGTGGTTCTACCACTTACAAACTGTATGTGGGAACTTGGGCAAATAACTTAATCTTCTTGGGCTTTTATTCCTCCATCTGTAAAACAGGGATAATAACAGCATCTACCT